GTTTCGTTGTGTCCTGCTTAAGGCTTTCTTTCTTTTCACTACTGTCTATACACAAGCAGCTCTCCTCTTTCTTCTTTTCTGGCCTGACTTGAAGCCTGCTGGGTTTTTTCCATGCCTTTTTGGAGTGTCATATTATAAATGAGAGATTTCTGCTCTGCTGGGTTTTTCTTTTCTTTGAAGGCTCCTCATTATAGTTAGAATTTCCTTGTGTAATGGTTAATATTAAGGACAAGTTCCATGAACTCACTGACTCTTTATCTTTCCAGAATTGTATTTTCACATTATGGGAAAGCTAAATTCAAGGCCTTTATTTTTTCTATCCATTAGGAACTCTGGAAGACTGGGATGCAGCTGTTCAAAAAACAGAGAACAGACTAGCTCGAGTCAATGAACAAAGAGCAAAGGTCAGAACTTTGTGAACTACCTTAGGAATTTATAGGCAATACCTATATTAAGATCATGCTTGTCTGAATGTCAGATCTCTAATGCTGGTTCCCATGGACAAACCTGAACTGTCTTAAAGCCTCAGAGCTATTGATTTTAGTTTAAAACTATGGTTCACCTCTTCTGATGCTTTTCATCGTTCACCTTTTGACCCTTGAATAATAGACACAAGAGTAGCATGTCCTCCAGGGAAGCTCCAAGAGCAAACAACTGAGATGTGCTTTAATTGTTGATCCCATTAGTGCTGTGTTTAATGCAGCTTAGGAGAAAACCCTCCAGGTTGAGTACTCTAGAAAATGCTCTGCAGTCACTGGAGAAAATGTCTGGTGTGTTTGTAGGCTGCTGAGAAAGAAGCTGCTCTGGCAAAGCTGGAGGAGGAGAAAGCTGAACAGCGAAAGCAGGCTCGGGCGGAAAAGAAAGCTTCCAAAAAGGCAAAGAAAGCCAGGACTGGGGACAAGCGCAAAGCAGATGATGATGATGAGGGTGAATGGGGACAAGAGGAAGAAGGTAACAAAGATAACCTTAAACTTCACACCTTTGGCAACTGGGTTATTGGTTGTCTGCCTTCTGTTAGAGGCAGGTGAGGAAGGGCCATCGCTGGTGTCTCCAAGGCTGCTGTCTGTATAGGGTCTCTTTCTCCTGGGAGGCCTTCACTGACAGCAAGGCTGAATGGTTTCTGACCAACGGAAGTACATGTTTGTAAGGACTTGTAGAGGTTTTCAGGTTTTTATTATTTCAGAGAAATACTGTGTCTTAAAGTCATTCTCCTGACTCTTATGCCACAGAGGCATGTGTCTAAATTGGATTAAAACATGCCAATTTAGAGACCACATGTGTCTAAATTGGATTAAATCAGTATTATAGCAGCCTCTTGGAAGGTGATAACAGAAGATTTTAAGAGGTTACTGCCCTTGGGAGTTTGGGATTTCAGATTTTCTTCTTTCTTAAATAATAGTAACCCCATTAGATGAAGGTGAATAATATGAATCAGTAGTTGCAACTGACAGAGTAAAGGAAGATATTCCTATTGCTTTCATCCAAATCCTTGCTGTATTGGTCAAATAACCTCTTGTTACTCATTATTAAAAACCTGAGGGAGGTTTCTATTTGCATCTCTGAGACCTGTCACTGTATTTGTGCTGTTTCCAAACTCCACAGTGGTAACGCAGGACAGCCTAATTGCAACGGTAAATGAAGTGGTGTAATCTTTATTAGTAAGGCTTTCAATGTCGTTCATCAGCAGAGCAGCCCAGCAAGAGACACAAGGGCGATGGTGTGCTTGAAGAAGACATGGAGGTAGAAATGGGGCTGTTTGGGAGAAGTGGACCTGAAAAGGCAGATCGCCCAGCAAACCAGAAGGAAAAGGCAACTACCAGTCGAAAGGACATCCCCAAGGTGTTACATGACAGCAGTAAGGACAACGTAACCGTCTTTGTCAGCAACCTCTCCTACAACATGGCAGAGCCAGAGGTGAAACTGAAAGAGCTCTTTGAGAGCTGTGGGGAGGTGGCAGAAATCCGTCCTGTGTTCAGCAACAAGGGGACGTTCCGGGGCTACTGCTACGTGGAATTCAAGGAGGAGAAATCTGCTCTCCAGGCCCTTGGCTTGGATCGTCAAGCTGTGGAGGGGAGACCGATGTTTGTGTCTCCATGTGTTGACAAGAACAAGAATCCAGACTTCAAGGTAGACTTCTGTTCTTTCAAGTAATAGGTTGAACAGTGGGACTGTTGCATGTAGTGAACTCGTGTTGTGCTAGTTTGGAAGGGTAATGTGATGTCTTGGCAGTAAAACTGTCTTCTGGGAATTATTGGGTCTTAGGTTACTTTGCCATAAACCAGGATTGGTATTGGTTTTTGGGGGGTGATAGATTGAAATCATCAGAGTCCTTGGTTTGCAAACTAACAGCCTCCTCCTTTCTTCAGGTGTTCAGGTACAGCACTACACTGGAGAAACACAAACTGTTTATATCTGGTTTGCCGTTTTCCTGCACTAAGGAAGAGCTGGAAGATGTGTGTAAAGCACATGGGAATGTGAAAGACATCCGGCTGGTCACCAACCGAGCTGGCAAACCCAAGGTAGCCTTCCTTAATGCACCCTTTGTTTTAAGAAACCCTTCAAAAAGAAGTTTGGGTATAAAAAGTAGGTTTTATATATTAATGCGAAGGCAGGTTGGCAAAAATCTTGTAGGAATACTTGGATTTATACAGCCCAATGTGCTTTTGTGCCAAATAAGAAGTAGGAGGGGCAGAGGAGTTTTTCCAGAATACTACTTAGATTGCACAAGAAGAATGGGATTAAGTAAATGGGATGGAGGGGAAGATGTTTACAGCACATTTAGTATACTAAAAATAGGTAAGTTAAGTCTTTAGTCATCAGTAAGTTATTACTTAGCTTATTAGTAAGTCTGCAAAGAGCTTGTTGTTGAAGTAACTGGCTAGATTCACCTGGTGTAACTGATTCCCCTCCTTCAGTGGCTTGAAGCTATTGTTCATAACATCTGCTGCAACAATAGATTTGCTAGTGAGAAATGAGCCACCTCTCTGGCAGGGCTCCTTAATTCCAGCCTGGAATAAATGAGTCCTTGTGAAATTAGAGACTCTAAACCAGCTGCTGCTCTGCCAAAACTCCACCTGACACCTCGGCTGTGCCTGTGTGTTGGGCACTTCTCACAGGTGCCCAATGGGAGCTGTCCTGGTGGTGACGTGCATGTATTCTTTAATGGATTTTCTAGCTCTTGGCAGTATCTCAAGTTCAGTCCCTGTTGTGTGCACACCTTGTAACAAGTGCTCTTGTGTGTACCCTGAACCTTGCAGTCCACATTCTGAGCTTAGTTTGAGCTGGGATTCTGTCTAAACCACAAATAAATGTGCTTTGAATGTTACAATCTGATTCATTTCCTGTGAAAGTGAGGAATGACAGTCAATGAACGTAGATTGTAGGCAAGAATTAATTTAGCTAAAGAATACTGGGCTTTAGCCATGTTCAGGTCTGCTTTCTGTATGATTTTCTTACAGTTGGCCAAATGCAGAGAAGGAAGCACTAAACCTAATGTAGGTCACCTCTTTTATTTAGGGCCTGGCCTATGTGGAATATGAAAACGAAGCTCAGGCCTCGCAGGCTGTGCTGAAAATGGATGGCTTGACAGTTAAGGAGCACGTCATCAAGGTGATGATCAGTAACCCCCCGCTCCGAAAGCTGCCGGACAAGGCTGAGGCGGGCAGAGCCTCGCAGTTTGCGGTGCCGCGCCAGGTCTATGGAGCGTGAGTACGGGGGATGCTGCTTGGCAATGCTGGAGAAGGAAACACTGGGTGTCTTTATACATTAAACTATAGGAATTTAATCGAGAATAGGAGAGAACATTTAGAAGGTGCTGAACCATAAAAAGTTGTGTTGCTGGATTCAGGGAGAAGAGTGGATTTTCCTTCTTTATCAATAGGAACAGGTCTGTAGTGACTATCGGGCATTGGGCATCCCATTGGATCCACGTTTGTGCCTGAGTGCTGATAACTCCCATGTCCTCTTGTTCTGAAGTACCAGCCTTTGCGCACACTGAGCATTAAAGTTGCTCTTCCATCTTTCAGAGCACTCCTGCTGCTTAGTTGTTGCGTTGGATTCAGTTTCTGGGTTCTCCTGGGCAGTTGTTTTCTGCCAGAACTTGGGTATCCTGTTTCAAAGTGTACCCATTGAAAGCTCTGCACTACTTATTACTGAAACTGAAGACAGGAGTAGTATTTAAGAGTGTTCCTCATAGTGAACAAAGCTCGTTTTGTTTCCCCAAGTTAAAACAGTACCTTCAGAGAGCGCTGGGATTCTTTTTAAGTGTCCCTTTTTGCTCTGCAGGCGAGGGAAGGGCAGGACACAGCTTTCCATGGTGCCTCGTGCGTTGCAGCGCCAGGGTAATCCTGTGGCTAAGGCTGAGAATGGGATGGTCCAGAACTCACCAGCAGCTTCGTCCGCCCCCCCCGAGGAGCCGAAGAAGATGTCCAATGCTGATTTTGCCAAGATGCTACTGAAAAAGTGAGCAAAAAGTCTGCAATCAGCGGGTCTGGTAAAATGTGAAATGCCTTTATGGAAGCCATGTTGTGTCCTTACGCTAGCAAGGAGAGAACGCCAGTCACAATCACGTGTAAATACTGTTCTGGACTCCTGCATTCATTGACACCAGTGTAGGATGGTACAAATCCAGGGTTTGTTTTTTTTCCTCTGTTTGTAAGAGCAAAGAGTTATGCTATGTTCTGGTAAAACGGCATTATATGATTCCTCATATTGAGGGTAACGAGGAGGGAAGTGTTTCCTGTACAGGTCGGATGCCACGTCGGGTTTAATGAATACTTTACAGATGTCTCTTTCGTTAAGGAACGAGATGCAATGTGAAAGCTTAGTGCTAACCTTGTCAGGCTCCACTGGTCAGCTCCGATTGTGATTGCAGTCATTCTCTCTGCCAACAAAAACCCATTTGCCACCCAAACACACACTCGCAGGGACATTCATCTCCTTCCATTAAGCGTGAGATGCAGACGCTCGTAACTTCACCACAATGGCCTATTTTAGTATTGGGAGAGTTTCTATACATGTGTGTATATGTATATACACCAATATACATATATCTGTCTTCAGTTAATGTTCTGTTCCAGTTGACCTGTTTTTTATATTGTGTATTTGTAAAAGACATTCGGATTCATTATTTGAAGTGTCATGAGGTAATCCTTAGAGCTGGTAACTTTTGTTTCCCATAAGCTGTACGTGCTGTTGCTGAGGACCATTTTCTTTTTGGGGTTGTTTTTGCTAGCTAGTTCATAAAGTCTTTTGCAGGTGGTTTCTGTATGGTTTTGTACAAATGTGAAGTGCAAGCTGACGTTTCCTGGTTTATTAAACTCAAGTTCTCAAAGGTTTTCTATAAATACTGTTGCTTTTGTTTAAATGTGGGTGTTGGAATTGCACTTATCCTCTGGCAGCTGGGTAATGCTGATGTACCTCGCCTCGGGTGCACTGAGACACAGTGTCACTTATTTACCCGTAAGTAGCTCGCTCCATCTCATGAATATCCTGAAACCACTTTAATCTGGTACGTGATCTTGGGTAGAAATATTGCTGCTTGTCAACTGAAACTGCTGCTGGCTCTGGAAGTCAACACAGGCAGGGGTTGAATGTGAGGGGGGCCTCAGCGCCAAGGTCACTTGTACAACACGAGCACTGCTGCAAATAAACACTTATTTTTCAGTGCTTATGTTCTGTGATGATTTAACTTGGCTTCACTTTGGATCGATGAGTCTGCTTTGTAGCTTTGAGCCACGGAAGGGTGGCAGTGGTGGTGATAGAGCAGCTCGGGCCTGCCAGCCAGCTCTGGACTGCTGATACAGTGGGATGGCGTCTCGAAATCAGCTTACAAAGGCTTAGTAAGACTTTGGTATGAAGCTCGGGGTGGGGATACTAAGGCTGGCCTTGCCCTGAGGGTAGGTATGTACACAACATTAGTGAGGAATTCAGTTTCCTTTGGCTGCTGGGGCTGGACTTGCTGTGCTTCAGAGGCCTCTCTGACACCCTAGGCCCCAGCACAGCTGTATGTGGCTGTGGAAGGAAGTCAGGATGTGTGCACCCTGTCACTTGCTACTCCACAAGCTGAGCTGTGACCCCTTCTTAGTTCACTGCAGCAGAAAAGACCTTGAACTTGTTCCAAACAAAGACTTTAATATTAAAATAGTTTATTAATCCGTTACTAAAATAACATTGTATTTCCCCCACCCCCTCAAGAGCTCTAAAGTGCAGATTCTATTTGTACTCACCTTACACTACAAAAATAAGCACACTTTGTAGGGACAGAGCAACCTTCCTCATTTATTGTTTGCTTTCCCTGGCAGCAGTAGCTGGTACATAAGCATGGAGTGGTGCTGTAGTAGACAGGTAATTCCCAGTCTATTGTCTGCTTGTATAAAATGCATCCCAACTACCTTAGGGAAGGAAGTTAGAAGGGAAGAGGCCTAACACTGGCCAGGGACAGTTTTATGCTGTGTTTGGCAAAGGGGTTGAGCTTAACAGTACTCTAAACTGGACTGAATCCCAAGTTTTCTGAACTTAGGGGTGTTGGGATCAGTTGTGCTGCTGCAGAGCTGGCAGGCAGGGGTGGAGGGAGCTGTTCTGGGTCAGCCTGCAGGTGCCTTTACCTTAAAAACAAAGGCAAGGTGCACTTCTTGGCACTGCACAGCAGCTTCCAGGACCTGCGCTAACTGCCCCTGCAGCACGGAGAGGCCTCGTGTGATTCCTGATCTATTTGTCAATGTGATCTAGTAACTAATTGTGACAAGTTCTCTTGTGCAGATTGAAGAGGCTTCAGGTTTTTGGCAACTTTGCTATACCCGTTCTCACCACATCGGCACCGCTGACAGAGGTTGTCTTACAGCTGTGTAGAACAACCTCCCCTGCCCACAGCTTTGCAGAAGCTCTTTCCAAACCCTGAACTGAAATGTGTAAGGACACAGATTCCTGCAGTTCCCAGGGATCCTGCTCAGTGAGTTGAGGCTGAGGCAAGGCCTTGGAGTACCTCACAGCTCAGTGAAGTAAGTCAGCATTTCTTGTTCCAGCCACATCATCTGTAATCTTAAACCAAATGCTTCCCACTTGTTGTACAAAGGCAACTGAAAGTAAACCAGGTGAAGGGCTGTGATTGAAGCAGCTGCTCAAAGCTTAAAATAAGGAGAAATTAAGTTCTACTTCAGCTTGTGGAGCCCCTCACTGCCCCTCCCCACCTCCTTCCAGTAGCACAAGCAAGTTCTAGTGCACAGTCACCATCAACAGTTCACATTTCAGCTTGGCATAATGTATATAAATAAATTATATTAATTTAATCCAATGTAAGACACTTTAAATAAACAAAATGCTAAAGAGTGACACCTCCTGTCCAGTTACTTCCCGGCAGGAATACCAAGTGCCTTGGTGGTCAGTGGCTCTGGAATGTCCACAACCCTCAAGTCTTGACAGGGATGGTTTGTTTGCAGCCAGCAGAGCTGCCATCTGCCTCAGGTAAGCCCACGGAGTGCTCTGTGGTGGCGATGAGCAGCATGTCCAGGGTTGTCTCTGTACACTTTGCAATGAAGCGTATGAAGGGCCTCACATCGCCCTCGTTGGCCACTTCCAGCACGTGGTAATACTCAGCCCGTTGCTCCTTGCGGATGGTGATGGGGGGGTAACCCGCCTGCATTAGTATGAGGTTCATCAGCAGGCGCGAGGTCCTCCCGTTGCCATCTGTAAAGGGATGGATATAAACCAACTTGTAGTGGGCTAACGCAGCGAATTCCACAGGGTGCAAGCTCATGGCATCTTCCGAGTTCAGCCACTGCACGAACTCCTGCATCTGCTTCTCAACGTCCCGGGGGTGCGGTGGGATGTGATGGCCTACAAACACGTGAGTAGTCCTGAAGCGCCCTGCCTCCACCGGGTCAGCATAGCCCAGCACCCGCCGGTGGATCTCCAGGATGTCGGTGGTGGTGACGGAGCCGATCCGGGACACCAGCGTGGTGTTAACGTACTTGAGAGCTGCGTGCATCCCGATCACCTCGTTCTGCTCCACTAAGCTCTTCCCAGGAACGGCGTATCTGGTCTCAATGATGTGCCGTATTTCGGACAGCGTCAGAGTGTTGCCCTCAATAGCAACCGTGTGGTAGATGTGGTGGTAGTAGGACTCCTCCATCACCCGGCGCAGGGCGGAATTGCCTTTGGGAATCGCCATCACCTTTTTAACCTTGCTGTCAATAATGCCAAAATACCTCTGGTCGATCTCTTCCACCAAAGGGAGCGTCCGGTCCCGATTGATTAAAGCCTTCTCATTGAAGGGAGAAATGGTGAGGGCTTTGGAGTACAAGTAGTCAGCTCGAAGAATATCTTTTTCCTCTTCAGAAAAGATCCCAAATTCAGTCAGGGCATCCACATAATCAGGATCCATTTTGAGGGCGTACACGAAGAGCTTGTGGGCTTTCTCCCGCTTGCCTTGGCGCTTCATTTCGAGGGCTTGTTTCAGAGCTGCTTTGGCTTCTAACTTCACTTCTGCAATGCAACAAGAGCAGTCAGGTAACAGGGTAGTGAGTTTACTGGAAACTTCAAGACCATCATTGTTCAGCATAAAACTAAAGAACCCATCTAAAGGAGACCTTGTGTTCCAGCCTTTGCCAGGGTACAAGCACACAGGCACATGCCACAGCGTGGCAGCCGAGCTGTTCCCAGCAGGAAGCGTGGCAGGATCTGTCAGCACTATGGCTCACACTGGCCACAGGCGTGTTGCATCCCAGCAAAACTCGCTTTGGCCACCAGGCTACTGTGTGTGGAAGGACACAGAGTCTCAAATACACTCTCTTGGTGATAATTAATGCCTGTTCTGCTGCTAGAAGCACAGCCCACAGCTGCCAACAGTGCTTCTGGTTCTTCACTGACTACCAGACATCTTCCCAGCGATAACAGCTATAAGGTAAACAGAGATACAGTGCTGGAATTGTAATGATATCCCAGGTAATTGTGTATTAAAACAATAACCAGGTTTTCCAGTTACCTTCATGGAACTTAATAGTGCCAAAAGCATGAGGGAAAACTGAGAGGCAAAGCAGCACCAAGTGAAGGCTGGTGCTGACCTCTAGGCTCTGCACAGCCACTGCTAATGTGCAGTTGGGCACTGAGAGTTCATTACCATTATGGGGTAGGGGGTGGATCTCCAGCTGTGGGCTGTTACTACACAGCAGCTCTGTTCCCCTGGGACGCCCTTACCTGGGGAGGCTTTGCCTTTCAGCACCAGCAGCTCCAGCCCGTTGGAGGCCACGCTCAGTTCTGTGGTGTGTCCCGTGTACCTGGTGACCCCCGAGGAGCCGGCGCCCAGTTTACTCTTCAGGAAGGAGAGCCCCTGGAGCACTGCGTGGCACTGATCCTCCGCAGCCGGCAGCAGCAGCACCACGAGCAAGGCCAGGAGCAGCCCGAGCACTGCTGCCCACCTGACGCGGGCCCACAGCGTTACCCATTGCAGCTTGGGATCCGTCGCCATAGACACCAGGTTCATCCTGCTTCCAGCGCAGACCGGAGGGACATCTCCTTCCCCCCTGCTCCTGCCTGGGGGCACAAACAGCGTTAGACCTGCGGGCCCCTGTGCCCCCTCCGGCCCCGGTGCTCGCCTCACCTCAGGACGGGTCCCTCATCCCCAACACCGCCGGCT